GCTGGATTCAAACCCGCCACCTTAGGTGTATGTGGCTGGCGCCTTAGCTGCCTTAGCCACTTGAGCCACAGGTGCCGAGCCCCTTTATACACTTTTTAAAAATGTTATGGCTAGTGATTTTGACTCAAACCTCTAATCTCAACATTCTTCGAGGCTAAGGTAGGAGGATCACTTGAAGCCAGGAGTTTGATACCAGCCTGGGCAATATAGTGCAACCCCATGCCTACCAACCCCCCCCAATTGTCACATAAGTGGCTTATTCATAGTTTCTGTTAAAGGAGAAAAAGGTTTTGTTAAAGAGAAAATACTGTTAGGAATGATGGGTTTCCTTGGTTTTCATTAAATAATAACTTAAATACCAAAACTTCAGAAGTATATGATTTAAATAACATTTCAGGCTTTTAAATTGTTCTGGCCCAGTGCAGTGGCTCACACCTGTAATCCTAGTCTCGGGGAGGCCAAGGTATGCAGATTGCTTAAGCTCAGGAGTTTGAGACCAGCCTGAGCAAGAGTGAGATCCCATCTCTACTAAAAACAGAATAAAGTTAGCCAAGCATTGTAACTGGCACCTATAGTCCCAGCTGCTCTGGAGGCTGAGGCAAGAGGATTACTTAAGCCTAAGAGTTTGAGGTTGCTGTGAGCTATGGTGATGCCATTGCATCATCGGCAATAGAGTAAAACTATCGCCAGGGTGATAAGAGTAAAACTCTGTCTCCAAAATAAGTAAATTAATTAATTAAAAAAAATAAAAACATCTCTCTAAGGAAAAAGATGTTTCATATTGTTAATTTCTCTGTTGTACTTAGCTCTCTTTCATCTGTGGTACTTTTTCTAGCATATCTCTTGTCAGTCAGGGGTCTTAAATTTGACTATGGAGCAAAGCTAGGACTGGGTACAGTATAGGCCACTTTTATCTGTTGACTTAGAGCCAACATCCAAAAGCATTGTTTTTGCCTGGTTCCACAAATTACCTGTCTGCTTCCAGATACTAGCATTTTGGGGGGAATATTTTATTATGAAAAATTGCTTAATTAAGGGAATTAAGCTTAATTAAGAGAATTTTATGGTGAATACTTAAAACTCTCTCATTTAGGGCAGTGCCCCTAGCTCAGTCAGCAGGGAGCCAGCTACATACACTAAGGGTGGTGGGTTCAAACCTGGCCAGCAAAGACAACAATGCAACAACAACAACAAAAAAAAATAGCCAGGTGTTGTGGCGTGCGCCTATAGTCCCAGCTACTTGGGAGGCTGAGACGAGGATTGCGTAAGCCCAAGAGTTTGAGGTTGCTGTGAGCTGTGACACCATAGCACTCTACTGAGGGTGACAAACTGAGACAGACTCTGTCTCAAAAAAAAAAAAAACCCAAAAAAATAACCTCTCCCATTTAGACTCTAGCATTAACGTTTTATTATCCTTAATTTTTGACATATATCTGTCTTCCCTCTTTTTATCCATTAATTCACTGTATTTTATTCATTTCAGAGTAAATTATAGACATCAGTACATTTCCCCTAAAAACCTCAGACTGCATGTGTATTATTAACAATTCAGTATTTGTTTAGCTTTTTCTTTAGATGAAAAATTTATGTGAAATGAAATGCACAAATCTTAAGTGTATATTTGCTGACTTTTGAGATATGCATCATAATTAAATGAGGATGTGTGCTTAACAGTATTTTAAGTAAGTGTTGGCTGGAAATTCTGCTTAAGATAATATTTAAGTAGGCTTGTGTAAGTAGAGATTATAAAATTATCTTTATTAATTAACAAATTAATCAAGTCCCCCAAATGTAGGAGAGACTTAGTTACCATGCAGGAGGATCCTTATCTTTTGTATCTTTAAATATAGTAGAACAGTTGACCACCTCCCTACATTGACCACCTCCTTAAGTTGACCTAATTTTCATGGATCAAACGTGTACCACATTCATGTATGCATCAGTACAATAGGCCTAGTTCCTTATGTTGGTGAGTTTGTTACAATCCCTTGGTTGGTCAACTGACAGGTTCTACTTTATATCTTTGCCATCTCTGTTGGCTACAGTATTTTAACTTTGTGGCTTCTGGGTCCTTTTTGCTGATTATTCTTACCCTCTGCAGATATACTGGTGAATTTATTCAGAATTTGAAGTGAGTCTGTCCTCTTTTATTAAGAAATATACTCTTGGTGGCACCCATAGCTCAATTGGTAGGGCGCCAGCCACATACAGTGAGGGTGGCAGGTTCAAACCCAGCCTGGGTCTGCTAAAATCAACAATGACAACTTGCAACAAAAAAATAGCCAGGCGTTGTGGTGGGCATCTGTGGTCCCAGCTACTTGGGAGGCTGAGGCAAGAGAATCGCTTAAGCCAAAGAGTTTAAGATTGCTGTGAATTGTGATTCCATGGCACTCTACCAAGGGTGACAAAGTGAGACTCTGTCTCAAAGGAAAAAAAATACTCCTATACTTAACCTGGCAGGGAAGATACCATTATCACAAAGGTGATTTTCTCAGGGCAAGGCTTATCTATTGCACTTTGAATGTGCTTACCCCTGTAATTTCTCCAAATGTGGGAAACTCGACTGCATAATTTGTGAGAGTGGGGAACTGTGTTAGCACTTTCCCGTGTTTAAAAAAAAAAAAAACTAAGACTATTTCTTGCCTGTCATTGTGAGTGCTGGTGAAGTATTGATAGATGCCAGAGTGAACGAATATGAAGGGCAAAGTACTGTTCTGGCCTCCTTCTGGATGTAGAATGAGATTGTCCTAATTCTCAAATGGTTCATTATCTCCTAAGAAAGACAGGCAAATAAGTAATGGCAAAGTGATTCCATGCTAGAATAGAGGATGGGCAGAGTGCTCCATGACTGCTGGCAAGGGAGCCATTGATTCTCTCTGGGACAACACCAAGGGCTTCATAGCAGAGGTGGCATTTAAGTGCAGCTTAGAGAGTTTGAGGTAAATGTACTAGGAATTAAGTTGAAAAGTCATCAGAGTCTAGAATGTAGACAGTTATAAAGCCTATGTACTAAGTGATTTGATCAGAGCTGTACTATAGAACCTTTTGTGCCTCAGGTAGTAACTTTATAGCCTTCTTGCTGCTAATTTGAAGTTTCTTGCAGCCTCTCTCTGCCCCTATGATAGTCAGAATAATGGCTCCCCAGAGTTATCTGCAGAACCTGTGAATATTTTACCTTATATTGCAAGAGAGAATTTGAGATGTAATTCAACTGAAGACTTTAGGATAGGAGAGATTACCCTGAATTAGACGACTGGGCCTAATGTAATCAAAGAGGTCCTTAAAAATGGGAGAGGAAGTAGATGGTGAGAGTCAGGGGAAGAAATATATATGACTGTTGAAGATAGAAACAGAGAAATGTGTTATTGCTGGCTTTGCAAATGGTGGAAAAGTCAGAAACCAAAGAATGCAAGTATCCTCTAAAACAGTATTTTTCATTCAACCTTTGTTACGTCACGGCACACTTGAACCTATAGTTAAAATTCTGCAGCACACTTAAGTTATGTTGATCAAAAAAGAGTAAAGAAAAGAATATGCTTACAGGCCTGTGAACTTATTTCAAAAGTAATTGATAATTTTAAAAAAATTTCTTGGTACTCTTAAGATCCTCTTATAGCACACCAGTGTGCCAGGACACATTGGTTGAAAATCACTGCCCTAGGAGCTAGAAAGACAAGTAATTGGATTCATCCCTAGAGTCTCCAGAAGGAATATAGCTCAGCCAACACCCTAATTTTAGCCCACTGAGACCTGTGTCAGACTTCTGACCTCAGAACTGTTAGGTAATAGATTTGTGTTGTTTGAAGCCACAGAGTTGTAATAATTTACAGCAATAGGAAACCAGTACAGTGCTCCATCCTTAAGAGTTTATGAAGTAAAAATATTCTCCCTTTCTCTTTTTTGCAGGATGTTAATGATTTTGCCTCAAGAGAGAACAGTAGATTGATTATAAACTAAGCAGATTTTTCTTGTTATTTTGTAGCCACACCTGGAAGAAAATACAGACTTTATCATAACACTTATTCTTCATGTACTGAATTGTCATCTTTGTCTCCAAGGAGATTTTACCATGTGGTGGTGATAGGAACAAAAATCTCTTTGCAAATGTGAAATTCATGTTGTGGAATGGCTTTTGCTGTGCTTAACCCTACCATTAGACCTTTTCTCATTCTTGTTCTAGTCCCTCACTCCCCAGGGGTTCTTGCAGATTTCCCCCGCCACATTAATTTCTATATTCTTTTCATGTCCGTGGTACTACACCTTTTTAACATCCTTCTCTGGGCTCGGCACCCGTAGCACAGTGGTTATGGCACCGGCCGCATGCACTGAGGGGGGCGAGTTTGAACCTGGCCCAGGCCTGCTAAACAACAATGACAGCTGCAACAGAAAAATAGCCGGGTGTTGTGGCAGACACCTGTAATCCCAGCTACTTGGGAGGCTGAGGCAAGAGAATTGCTTAAGCCCAAGAGTTTGAGGTTGCTGTGAGCTGTGACACCACAGCACTCTACCAAGGGGACATTGTGAGGACGTCTCAAAAAAAAGAAAAAAATCCTTCTGTGGCTAAACTGCTTGAGGAAAGAAAATTACTCTTGTCTCATTTGCATTCCTAGCACCTACAATGGAGCCTGTCGGGTAGGAGGCACTCAGTGACTCTTGATAGCTACCTGAATCCTAAGACGTACATTATAGACTGTCTTTTGCCTTTCAGGAGTGTGCTTTGTCTTACTGGGAAGATTATTGGATTCCAGAGCATCAGGACTTCCTCTTATCACTTGTTCCTACACAGCAGTAACCAAATAGTATGTAAGCTCTAGAGAAAGGACACTATAAGATCCATTACGCTTCTGTAGCCACAATGGGAAAAGATAATGCTGGACATCATAAGGCAGAGATGAGATTAGAAGTAGCTTTCCTCTGTGGGGTTGTAGTTTCTTAGCACTTTATAAACCAAGCCTGTCTTATGCTCACAGTTCTTTTGTGCTCTTACATCGTTCTGCTGATGCCATCTACTCCTATGTGCCTCAGACTTCTCTCATCACCAAATAGCATAGCCTCTGAAACCTTAAATTATAGTATTCTTCTTTCTGACCATCTCCTCTTGTTCTCCTGGCTCTTTTATATCCCTGTTCGCACTATACATATTCTTCGAGGTTCCCCACAAATTATTCTGCACTTTCCTAGATTTTCTCATATTTGTACTCAAACTAGATCCTATTCACCAGACAAATCCCTCACAGTAGACATTCTCACTTCCCTGCTGCATAGTGGCTGTACATGCAAAAACCGTACCCCAGGGTTCACTCTGCAGTGTCCCTTCTGACCATGCAGTGAGTGCTGCTAGATGAAACCACAGACAGATTGCTGTGACAAATGTATAACTGTCTTTTGCACTGTCTTGCCCTTAGAACATCACTGCATGACCCAAACCTTTATCACTGTCCTTACCACTCATGGCCAGCTGCTACTCATCTCACTGGTAGCATACAGCCTTGCTTCCTACTTTGCCTAACATTTTTATTGAACTACTCACTAACTGTCAACATCCCACCTATCCTTACTTACTGAGGGTGGCAGGTTCGAACCCAGCCCCTGCCAGCTAAAACAGCAATGACAACTGCCACAAAAAATAAAATAAGCCATGCCATTGTTTAAAAAAAAAAA